TGGGCTGATGCATCAGACTGCAAATTTGTTTGTATTGCAAGGTCAGTGGTTCAAACTCACCAGCTGCTCCTTGGAAACTCTATACAGGGTCGCTATGGGTCAAAATCGACTCAACAGTACTTAACAACAACAATATATATTTGCTTGTGCCTAAGCCGCTGCTTGGAAACCCCTATGCAGGGTTGCTATGGGTTGGAACTGACCCAACAGTACATAACAAAAACAACAACAAATATGTATTTGGACTTCTGGTGTGGCACTGTGGATCAACACTGGACTGCGAACCACAAGGTCAGCAGCTCAAACCCACCAGCTGTTTCTCAGAAACCCTAAATAGGGTCACTATGAGTTGGAACTGACTCAACAGCACTTAGCAACAACAACAACAACAACAACAATATTTACTTAGGAGTCCTGTTGTGCTGTTGTAGGATAAACACTGGACTGCTAACAACAAGGTTGGTGGTTCAAACCTACCAGCTGTTCCTTGAAAACCCTATACAGGGTCACTATTGGTCGGAACCAACTTGATGTTGTTGTTGTTAAGTGCCATTGAGTCAGCTCCAACTCATAGCAACCCTGTATAGGGTTTTCAAGGAGTAGCTGGTGAGCTTGAACCAGTGACCTTGCGGCTCAAACTGCCTTTGTAGTCAAGTGCATTAATCCACAGCACCACATAAGCTAGGCTGCTAACTGCAAGGTCAGAAGTTTAAATCTACCAGTCACTCCATGGGAGAAAGATGAGACTTTCTGCTCCGGTGATGATTTACAGCCTCAGAAACAATATACAGGGTTGCTATGAGTTGGAACTGACTCAGTTTAACACAACCACCACCACCAATATGTATTTATACATTCATTTGGAGAAAGAGCGAGGAATTTACAAGTGGTATTGTGAACTAAAAAGGAGCTCTGGTAGCATAGTGGTATGAGTCAGGCTGCCTCAAGGTCAGCAGTTCGAAACTACCAGTGGTTCTATGTGAGAAAGATGAGGCATTCTACTCCCATAAAGATTTATAACCTCGGAAAACCTGTGCAGGGTCACTATGAGTCGGAACCGACTCCATGGTACTCAGCAGCAGCAACATTGTGAACTAAAAGCAAGGGTATTACTCAGCTTCCCTCAGTTTCCAAGGACCCGTATTCATATAGCTAATAAAGAACTATTTAGGCCCATTGCAGGAGTAGCCATGGAAACCAAGATTCTCCTGAGATTGACTCACCCCCATTCTGCCGGCCCTCTTTTGGGAGATGGCACAAGGTGATTTCCCAGTGCCATTCTTGGATCCTGTCTCCCCTCCCAGATGAACCCATATCTTTTAAATGTTCTCAGAATCATCCTTCTTGTCTCCTGCTCCTCCCTGTTCCCTGTGCTGCTGACCCCCAGGGCTTTCTCACCAGCTCCCTCTGCTGGGCCAGGATCCTCATCTTCATGGACTCGGCCAGCAGAATGTGTTGGGTATTATTCAGCACTGCAGGTGGGGGACACATTTAGGGAAAGAGAGTGATGAAGAGTTTACATTATCATGGCACATAACAACAACAACTGTGAACTAGTATAACTAGTGAGAAGCAACTCTGAAGGAGAGGAGTAAAACCCATTAGACTTGAAGGTCAAGTCTGCCCTGGGAAATCTTCCTTTTGCTCTTGGCAGCAATCGCCAGTATAGTAAATAATGTGGTCCAGAGAATGGGATTCTGGGTTGGAGTCTTAACTTATTCACCTCCAGTGATGTGTTAAGGTCCTGGTGTGGAATTGTGGGTTAATGTATTGTACTGCAAAATTGGTTTGAACCATAAGGGTGATTCAAGCTCACCAGCTGCTCCTCAGAAACCCTATACAGGGTCGCTATGGGTTGGAACTGACTTGAGGGCACTAAACAATAACAACAAAAGTGGTGTGTCGGATGGATATACACCAGTTGCTTTCTAGAGCTCAGGCTTGTTCTGTGTCACATAACTAGTTTATCACACTAAGCCTTCATGACTGTGGTATAGAGGTGATGTGAGGATGAAGGGGCACAATATTTCAGGGACTTATGACAAGTATGTCTAATGTATCATTCTTACCCATTATGGTGTCAAGAATATCAGTGATGCAGTACTGTGGTCTGATCCATAGATCTTTAGTATTCTTTCGCATTTCATTTAGGATGATGCCACCAGGACCATTCAGATGACCCGAAGGGTTCTCTTCTTCTAGCTATAGGTGATAGGTATTATTGGCAATCATAGTAATAATGCCATTGCATGAACTTTTGTCTTTGTCTTTTGTGTCTAGAAGTGATTATTAGCCCAGGTATGAAAGGGGAGGGTTCCCCACCTCCCCTGAATGGTATCTAATTGCTTCAGTATGCGGGGGCTGCACTCTCTGGCACTGGTTATTATTGTACATGAAACCAAAGCCCCTAATTTCTGACCTCCTTTCTCAGTCCCTTGGTATTTTCCCATTCCTCCTTCCCCATGTATCTTAGCATCCACATTTCCAAATTTCTTTACAGTGTTCATCTGCCCAGGTCAGCCATGGGACTGGCCCTCTCACCTTGTCCATTAAATTCTGCAAAGCTTCTCTGTCCCCGAGCATGGCCTGAATATTATCGAATACAATGTCCCGAAAATTTTTTGGGAAGCTGGCCAGTTTCTCCATTTCCTGGGATATATCCTGTTGTAGACGCTTGAAGTCTGTCCTCAGACATCATCGCCAGCCAGAAAAAGGGCAATTTCATCGATTAGCACATCCCCAGGATGATCAGCCCCTCCCTCCACCCCCTCCGCCCCGGGATGTGGGTCAAGCTTTCCATATGTGTTCAGCTGCTGACTGAAAGTGTGATGGAAATGCCATGCTAGGCTAGAGAGATGGACAGTCTCACATCTGTGCATGAAGTGTTAGGAAGTTGGAGAGTCTGAAAAGGGGTTATTAGAAGTGGAAGAAAATGCTCAAGTGTTCCTCTCTGGGAAATGCCAGGATTGAACTCCTGGCTCAGTTTCCACATCTGCTTCAACAGATGTTCCATGTTCTGAGGACTAAATGAGTTCACATGTATAATGGGCTTGGGATAGTGCCTGACACACATGAATCACCCATATGATGGAATTGTGCCTGTATCTTTATGGGGATAGCACATATGATAATGGAAATTAGTTTTAGTCTTACAACGTTATTAATGTAATTGATTTCATTGAACTGTACAAGTAAAAAATGTTGGATTGGAAGATGTTATAACAGTGAGGGAAAAGAAAAGTAAGGATTAATTGATTTATATATGTTGGTGGTTCTCCGCCTCTCCTGGATTTCAGGTGACTTTAGTTAAGGATTGAGACATCAGTGGAATAGAAGCTTTAAAAGAGTTGGCCCTTCTGTCTGTTGTGTTCATTACTGGATCCCTAGTGCTCAGAATAGTGTTTGCTTACAGGGTCCCTAGGGTTCGGAAGCGACTCGATGGCACTTCACAGCAGCAACAGCATATAGTTGTTTTAATAAATGTTCATTGCATGAATGAACTGATGAATTAATGAATATGTGGATGTAAAAAGGCACTTTTGGAAATAGAGATTTATTTTCTGTGTTTGAGTTGGCCCACCAGTTGGATACTTAACCTTGTAGTTTCCTACCCAGGCAGCCCGAGATTTCCTCTTACAAATACTCACTTTGAGAAATGGGTTGTTCTATTCTTCCTGGAAAAAGAGAATCACAGTAATTGACTTCCTTCTGTTGCCCCCAGTTTTGCCTTTGACACACTTTGGAGGGTCTGCCTTCCTACTGCCTCTTCCGTTTTAATTTCTTCCAACCCCCACCCTCTCCATCCCTCCACCTCCTCAATCTACCTTGGCCCCTTTCCAGTCCTTCCAGCCCCTTCCCAGCCCCTCCCTCCAAATGTTTAGTTTTCCTGGCTCTTTCCCATTCCACAGGAAAGCCAAGCCAAGGCCACTGGGCAGGGGTGGCACAGGCAGGACAACCTGCCCTGCTCATGCCATTGGATCCCTACCCCCTCCCGCCTTCTCCCTCCACACACTCACCTATTGGGAGAATATAGCCTGTGTAGGAGAGAAAGAGAACTTCAGTTCCCTTCACCCAAGAGTTAGTCTCAGAAGCTACTTGGCATCACCAGCCCTATCCACCCCCTCACCCCCTCCTTCCCACCACCCCTGCCCTTTGCCCAAGAGACCAGATCCCAAGGCCTTAGGTATTGGCAGCAAAGACTATCAGGTAGGTATTTGGTTGTGACCTGGTGCACAATGTGGCATGGTGGGGAGATCAGATTCCATGTTTGTGGCTCCCAAAGCCCCCACTCACCTAGCGGAGCATGCATTTCTATTACTGGAAAGAGACATGAGACATTTTAAACATAAGTTAGTTTTCCCCTCCCCTTTCCCTCTTCTACCACTTCCCATCCTCCTTGGACATTTTACTC